CTGCTAATTTTTAATATCTATCTTTTCTTTTGTTTTCCTTATTTAGACCTGTTACAGATTCATTCTACCATTTTGATCTTATTTTTTGTAAAGAATTTTTAAGTTGACAAATTCAATTATTTTTCTCTTATTTCTGTCTTTATCTTTATATTTTCATTTTTCCTGTTTTCTCTTTCTATGGTAAAATTTCTAATTTTTAGCTGAATGTTTATTTTCATTTTTTCCAATTTAATAAAAAGTTTAAAAGCTAAAAAGTTGCTTCTCTTTTTAAAAAAAGCTTTGTCCATACTTGTTGAATTTTACATGAACTCTTCTTAGTCCTGTTATTATCCAAATAGTCTGTGATAGTAGTTTCTAATTTATTTGTTTTTGGTTCACTAGTTGCATCTATGATTTTTTTTTTTTTTCCTTTTTAATTTTGAGTCAGGGTTTTGTTTGTTTATCTTCTGTTACTACTTTCTAGGTTGGTTTGTTTTCCACTCTGGTAAGGCAATATGTCCTACAGATTTTTGCATTTTTGGAATTTGTTGACTGTGAGTGTGTGTATGTGAAAGAGACAGAGAGAGACCAACAGACAGACAGACATACTCCTCATGAACAGATGAATAATGGTGTTCTGTAATAGTTTTCAATTAAAAACTTACCTATTGGGTACAATGTACACTATTCTCATGACAGGTATACTGAAAGCCCTGACTTCAGCATTATACAATTCATCTATGTAACAAGAACACTTGCTCCCCTAATATTTTGAAATGAAAATTATTTTAAAAATCTTAAAAAAATAATGAAACATTTTCATTGATGATATGCAAAGCCAATACATAAAATCGAATAAGTGCTGGTTGAAGAGGTATTGAGGTAGGATGGAGGCTAGAGTCGCACCAAACCTATCCCACCTTCCCTAAAGAGCTCCATGGTATCCTTAGAGTTACCTAGATAAGATTTTAAAACTGCTGCTCATTTATAAAATGTTATATATGCATCTAGTAGATAAACTTAGATATTTATTAAAATATTTTCTCCCCTAAATCAATCTATTTAGGATTGAGAATGGTATACTCTAGTCTCCACAATAAATGCATTTCTATGACCTCTCCCTGCACTACCAGAAGCTTTTGTTATTATGTTTCAATCCTCTGGAATTTGATGATTAACTTTTTGTATCTACTATATCTTCATTATAGGCAGTATCTTTTAGTCACACAATTAATGCCTTTATTCTATTTTAAAGCTTTTCTCCTTAAATTCTTTCCTCTGAAAGTAATATTGTTAACCACTAGCATTTGGATTTGTGTCATATGCCTCTGATTGTTTTTACTTTTAGCTTTTAAAAAAATCTAGTAAAATTACATTTCTATTCCTATATAGTATATGTATCTATGGGCATAGTGTATGTATGTATGTAAATGCACATGTAAATGCATATGTTATGCATATGTAGATGTGTATGCAAATTTAAATGCATATACATATTTATATATGTATAAACTATATACATCTTTCTAGTATATAATTCTATCTTCATTTCTTAATCTCATATACATTGAAACTTTTAACTTTTTTCTGAGTTTCTGTTTTTAACTCAATCTTTTAGACTTTTTTGGTATTTATAAATGTTTGTCTTACTACAATTAGCCTTTTTTCTTTTATGTTAAATCTTATTTAAGATATTTTTGAACTCCTAGTTTTATAGGCATTTTATTTTCCTTTCCTTTATAATTAAAAAAAAAATCATGATGGGTAGAAACGGGGATAGTAGAAAGGTAATTCAAAAATAAAAGAAGGACAACCTGTATAGCCAACCACCTCACTACTTCTTCAATGAGTCTTCTAGTCCACTTACATCCAAAAACTATCCCTGGGACTCAAAACCTGTAGGGATCATAACCACGTTACACTTGAGGCACAACTGAATGCCATACCTGATTTCTCTTACTATTCAGCCTTTATGAGAAACTCTGTGTGTTAAAATCTATGGCTAGTTCAAGTTAAGTAAATTCAGATGGCTAGCAGGGATCTTATCCAATTTAAAGTTAATTAAAAAAATTTTTAAGCTGCCTTAAATTTTATGTATGCCATTCTGCTTTCTCTCTAGATTCCAGTATTACGCCTTTGACTTAAAAGCCCAAGATAAACAGTCACTAGGGATTGTCTGCACCTCAATCTGTATGAAAGCTGCTCTCTTCGGGAAGCTCGAATCCTTGGTTTCTTGTTTATCGATTTGAGGATTAGTCTGAAGGTAGAGTTCCTCCAACTTTTTAAGCATCCATTGTTTACATCCTCTTGCAAACTTAGAGCTTATTAGACTGAATAATTTACTTTATTAATGATAAACATGAGCTTCTCAGATTCCTCTGCAAGCAGAGCTGTGGTCTTAGGCAGAGCTCTTCGGTGAATGACCACAATTCCTCCCTGTTAAGAAAACCCAAAGCTATTTGCAGCTTGTAGTGACCAAGTATTGGCCTTTGGTTGACACAAACCATGATTTGTTAATTAGAATTTAAAAACTTAGAATGAAAAGAACACCATTGACACTAAAACACTCATTTTGGGATGGAGGTAAATGAGGATGAAGGGTCCCTTAAGGGGAGTTGTATTTTTATGTATTATTGTTCTTATCATTTCCTTGTTTCTCATTTCCAGTCCCTCAAATACACTAAAATAACTCTAAACACTATTTAATCTCTATCTGATAATTTAGAGGGATCTGGAGAGGTCATGATCATGGATCTCTACTATAGGTATACCCACGTGTTAGAATCTGGTGCTGGAGAAAAATAAATAGGGTAGGTATTAGTTAACTGTCATTATGATAGATTAGCAAGACAAAATAGATGTAAAAATTCAAACATTTTTCATATTTCAAAATTACATAATACTTATTAGTAGTGAAGTAAATTATGAGTGAAACATAAAGCGAAGCACGCATACATCAGCTAAAAAAAGGAATTACTGTCTGTTTTTTGTATGTTTGCTCTATGTTATGAGCTAAGATCCCAAGTGAATTTTTATGTGTATAAAGAAAGAAAGAAAACTAAAATTAAGCTTTGTTGGTAGGTCCATACTATTTTCATGCATTCTAGGGGAGAAGGTAGTAAACAAAGTTTTTGCAACCATAAGTGATGCTTAAAGGAAAATTAAATCACAGAATGATGCCAGGACTGATTATTCCACTGCACTTTAAAAGCAAGAGATTGCAGTCTGTGAGTCCAAAGTGGTTTCATATGGAATGCCCCAGTTGTGGTTTACTCTTGAAACTATAACCTGTGAAATTAGAAGCAGGCAAGGCCTATTCTCTTAACGGTTCCACTTTCTACTGTCCGTAGTTATGTCTATAAGTTCAGCATTTTTTATTCAGTTAAACTCTGTTTTCTGGATACACAGAATATCAAAACTATTCTTTGTTATCTTGGTTAGATAAAGTTTTAGTTATGACATAAAATTTAAAGAAGCTTCCAATATCAGATTTATTATATAGATGAAGCTTTCATTGCAACTACTTTTTATCAACTACCAATATCTTATTATCCTGGTTACTACTATGTAATGTATAACTATAGGGAAGAGGTATAGACTGCATAAGTGCACAAGCATTTTTTACAGTGCATTTCCAGATATTTTATTGACTTTAGTACCTTACTGACTCATCGTTTTTCCAGGCCTGCAGTAGCCTGCTATTATGAGCTTAGTGTTAAAAATGCTCCATTTCTTCTCTTCTCCTTGATTGTGGAATGCCCTTCCAGGCAACAGGTTTGGTTAGCTGAGTTTTCCCATAAAAATTAAAAGGTTACTTGTTCAATTGTACTAATGTTTTATGTACAGTCCTTCCTTAATGAACCTTTCTTAATGCCCATTTTTATAATATAAAAATATTTTTAAAATAAAGCATAAACAGCATTTGCTCTCTGTATAATGCAACATAAGTGAAACCATGCCACTAAACAATCATATCCTGTTTAGGCCATAATGACATCAGAAATATATGTTTATCATCTGCTTTGGACAACTTGGCATGTTTTTGGCCCAAAGCAAAATTGAACTAAAACCATTTGCAGTTGCCCCCAAACCAAGATAACCACACATTTCTAAGGTAATTGATACCTAAAAGAACATTGCATTTAGATCACAGTTCATGATCTAAGCATACTAAATCTTTAAAGAAGGTTGTTAAAGTTAATAAAGCATGTATGTCTATTGGACTTTCTCCAAAATTTAACATGAAATAATTATATTTTTAGCATGCATAGAGACTATGATAGAGTAGACACTTAGTACAATCTTTTGGAATTCTGGAATTACCTCTCTTCCCCAATTTAAAGAGTAAAACGAACTATAAGAATATTGTCCTGGAGGCACTCAAATGAAATAAATCATTACTTTTATTTTTTCCTAAAGTATCTAAAGAAACAATATTTTTATGTATAGATAGCTAAGGTAAATAGAAGACATATAATTTTCATATTCATTGTTAAAACATATCCAGGAAATCCAAATGCATATCACTAACTTTGTGTTACTGTGATATAAAGCGTGTAATTGCCCTGGATACTACCTTAGCTATAAGTTCAACCATACAGCCTGCAACTATAGCCTGAAAAATAACTCTTCATGCTATATACCAACACAAAAGCAGTAAGAATTAACTTTGTCTACAAAGATAACTAGATGATTTGGAACAAAAAAGTAAATATTTAATTGTAAATTAGCTTTTATAGAATAAAATAAAACCAGTATATGTCCTATCCAGAGTAGGCAAACTTAGCCATTTTCAAAGGAGGAAACAGAGAAACAGAAAACTGAAACCGTTTCCAAAAGTCAACCTAAAGACAGTTGACTCCCTCTCCAGGGGTTACTCCTCTGCACATTGCTGCCGTCAGACATAAAACCACTGATTTAGGAATTTCGGACAACATTTAAAGAATACAAAAATAAAACCAAATAGCATAGGCACTGCAATGGTTGTTCTATCTCTGTAAAAGTGGAAGAATGTACAATACCTCCATTCTTTCTTGTTTAACTTCATCAATTTCGTCATCTTCAAACATTGCCAAAAGTTCTCCTGTCTGGTCAATAGAGTTAAGAAAGTCCTGAGCAAACTTTTGTCTTTTGTTTGAATTACTGCTGCCACTCAATTTGTCTTCATGAAGATAAGGGAAGGAAAAAAGAAATGTTGTCAATAGGTTTCCATCAGCTCTAATTATTACACATATTAAATACTGCATATGAAATTCAGAACTGGAATTCTCTCAAAGTAATCTTTAGAAGAATTCTTGCACCCAGAATAAAAGTGTTAAGTCATGCAGAATTAAATCATTTATTCATATCACAAATTAGACTGAGAGAATAGAAGCAAATTATCAATTACCAAAATAAGTGTGAAAAGGCTGATTGAAATCATTTTTATAACAAGGAGGTATGGGCCAGGTAGGAGCACATGCCTGTGCTCCTACCACTTCAGGACACTGAGGTGGGAGGATCACTTGAGGCCAGGAGCCTGAGACCAACCTAAGCAAAATAGCAAGACCCTTTACAAAAAATAGAAAAATTCACCAGGCATGGTGGTGCATGCCTGTAGTCCTAGCTACTTGGGAGGCTGAGGAGGGAGGATCACTTAAGCCTGGGAGTTTAAGGTTGCAGTAAGCTATTGCTATGATGATGCCACTATACTCTAGAGCCCAGGCAACCAGGTAACAAGGTGACACCCTATCTAAAAAAACGAAAGGAGAAGGGGAGGAGGGGGGGAGAGGAGAGGAGAGAGAGAGGAGAGGAGAGGGGAGGAGGGGCGCTCTCTCTCACCCCGAATAGCATGCTCGAGGAAGAGAGGAGAGGAGAGGAGGGGGGGAGGGGAGGGGAGGGGAGGGGAGGGGGGAGGGTGGAGGAAAAGAAGAAAGGTGTACTTTCATATTTGAAAAAAGAATACGGTTATATAGTATTTATAATAGTATTCTATTATGAAATGAAATGACAACAGAAAAAAAAAACGATGAGTAAGGATAGAGTAGGCAAATACAAGCAAAGAAAGCAGAACTGGTAACAATGTTAGAAAATATAGTTCAAGACCAAAAGCACTAAGTAAGGGTAAAATATTATCTAATAAAAGGAAGATTAATAGCCCAAAACTGTTATGCACCAATGATAAAAAAAAAAAAACGAATAACACAAAGGAAAACTTCAAAAGCACAATCATTGTGAGATATCTGAATGTATTTATTTCAAAATTTGACAACTTAAAAGTACGGCTATAGAAAAGAGTTTTAAAAATGTATCTATGAGCACTTTAATACCAACATAGTAAGAATCTATACTGCTCTCTTAGGTTCACAGATCATTTTTCTTCATTTCTGTCATTTTATTTTAAAATTTTCTTTTAAAAAGTTTTTATAAATATCTATAAATATAATTAAAAGGCATTAAAATGATATGCTATATACTGATTTCTGCTTGATTGCCTGTCCCCCATCTTCTTTCCTTTTATGTTGTCAGCCAACCTCCAACTCAAGGTGTAACTCATATTAACCACCTAATATGTATCATTCATATATTTCTCCATGCTTATATATCCATATAAATACATTCATTTATAAAGATGTTTTGTTCATTTTTACTTTTAGAATAGGGTTCTTCTTATGATATTCTTTCTTGTTTTTCTTTGTAATTCACGTTTCTTAGTCTATGAGAGCTAAAAATTCCTCAATAGCCCTGATTCCTTTAGAAGAGCATAATATTTTACTCTATGTATTTACCACAGTTTTTCAACCCCTATTGATGAGAGCCCAATTTGTTTCAGGTTTTTGCCACCAGGGGAAATGCTGCAATAAACATTCCTTCATATGGTATTCCATATAGGTGGCTTTAATTTTATGGCATAGATTAACAAGAATGGAACTATTGAGTTAAAAGGTACAAACATTTTAAATTTTAATAGATGCTGAAAGATTATTTTTCAAAGCATTAACTCTTCATATTTCCAATAGCAATGAGGATTGCCTTTTCTCTCCATGGGAAAAGGTTGAATATAAAGTTTTATCATTATGATTGAAATATTTAATTTCCCCAGTTACCAATGAACTTAAACATTTTTCTCATATGTTTGTCAGCTACTTGAATAATACCTTCTATTAATTGCTTATTTGTATCTTTTGCCCATCTTTAACTGGGTTGTCCTTTTTTTTTTCTTGCCAACTTAAAGGGCTTCTTTTTATCCTGTTGTCACCTGAGTTAAAAATGTTTATCCTAGCTTTCACTTGCGTATTGATTTTAGAGCATTATTTGCCATAAGAAAATTTAAAATTTTTACATTACCAAATAAGTTCATCTTTTCTAAGTTTTGTTTGACATGACTTCTTTCCACTCCCAGAGATTGTAAATGTAATGTTCCAAATTTGTTCAGATTTTTTTTTTGTTCTGTTTCATCTTCAATCCATTTGGAATTTATTTTGTATATGGTAAAGTTTGCAGTTGTACAATACCTCTGATTAAATAATACAATCTTTTCCCACTGAACTGAACTTTTGTCATACCTTAAATTCTCAAATATCTCAGATTCTATTCTTGGATTTTTTGGTTTGTTTCATTGATCTGTATGTCTAATCTTCTATGACACCACAGGCTAAACATATTCTTATTTTTTAATTAATATTTCATATTTTTCCTAGCTGCATGTGGACATTTATTCCTCCAAAGAAATGTTAGGATATTTTTACAAAATTCCAGAAAAACCCTACTAGAATTATGTCTAAAGCTGTATTGATTTATTATTTTTTATCAAATTGATATATTTGTGATATTACCTTTTGTCTGAAGGCATGATATGTCTTCCCATTTGGTCACATCATATTTAATGTCCTTCAATTAGATTTTCCTTTCTTGTTATATTTATTCCTGATTTTATTAGTTTTAGTAGCTAAAGTTAATATATTTCCCCCCATTTCCATGCCCAGAACTGCTCTTACTGAGTTTTATGCATGTTTGTACAAAGTATTTTGCTTTTAACTATTTTTTCATACTCATTTTAATTTCTGTATTATTCAGAAGTATATTTCTTAATTTCCAAGTAGTTAGTATTTGAATGTTTTATTATTTATTTAAAATTTTATTGAACTAAAATTGGTAAATTGGATCCTACCAGGTATCCTTATTTTAATTTATAAAGGTTTACTTTGTGGCTAACTTCACATTTAATTTTTGTAAAACTTCTGTGGACACATTGAAAAAAATGTTTAGAACCTCTACTCCAGGAAAATAAAGTCCTAAATATCTTGCTATTTTGCTAATTTATTGTTTAAGTGCTTATAGGTCTACTATGATAAAAAAAAAACAAACTGTACCTTCTGCAATTATATAATACTCTTCTTCATCCCTATTTGAGGCTTTTAATATTAAATTCTACCTTGAATGATGTTAATATTGCCACTTCTGCTTTTTTTGTATTTGTATATGCATTTATCTAATATTTATTTGTTCATCCCATTATTTACAATATGTTTAAGTTTTATTTTTGTTGTTTATAATCTGTCTTTTTTTTTTTTTTTTTTTTTGAGACAGGGTCTTACTCTATTGCTCAGACTAGAGTGCCGTGGTGTCAGCCTGGCTCATGGCAACCTTAAACTCACTCAAGGTCATAAACATTTGCTCCTCTATTTCTTTCTAAGAATTTTATAGTTTGAGCTCTCCCATTTAGGTTTATGATCCATATAGAGTTAACTTTTGTGTATTGTGTTATGAAGGGGCCAAAATTCTTTCTTTTGTATGTGGATATCTAATTGTCCCAGCACCACCTGTTGAAATTGTATTCTGTCCCTACTGAATTGTTTTGAAACCCTTGTCAAAATCATTTAACCCTAAATATGAAGGCTTAATTTCTAAACTCTCAACTCCATTCTATTCCATTGACCAATACGTCTATCATCATGCCAGTACTACTTTGTCTTAATTAGTGGCCTTATAGTAAGTTTATTGTTTTTGTTTTTTTTTTTAATTTTTACAGACAGGGTCTTGCTCAGTCTATAATAAGTTTTGAAATAAATAAGCATGAATCCTCCAATTTTGTTCTTTGTCAAAATTGTTTTGTCTAATCCAGATCCTTTATGACCTAGAATATGAGTAATTTTCCATGCCAGAATCTAGCATTTCCATATGAATGGTAAATCAGCCTGCTCATTTCTACAAAAAAGCAGGTGGAATCTTTAGATCAAGTGGGGGAATACTATCATCTTAAAAATATTAACTGTTCCAAACTATGAACACAGGAAGTCTTTCCATTTCCATCTAGAACTTCTTTCCTTCAAAAATACTTTGTAGTTTTCAGTGTATAAGTCTTGCAGTCTTTGTTTGATTTTATTCCAAAATGTTTTATTCTTTTTGATGTTATTATAAATGGAATTGTTTTCTTAATTTAATTTTTGGATTGTTCATTGCTAGTGGATAGAAATACATTTGATTTTTGTATATCTCTCTTGCATCCTGCAAACATGCTGAACTCATCTATTAGTTGAATAGTTTTTTGTAGATCTCAGAATTTTTTATATATAAGCTCTGGCCAGGAGCAGTGGCTCATGCCTGTAATCCTAGCACTCTGGGAGGCCAAGGCAGGAGGATTGCTTGAGGTCAGGAGTTTGAGATTAGCCTGAGCCCTGAGTAAGAGTGAGACTCTGTCTCTACTTAAAAAAAAAAAAAAAAGAAAGAAAAAAAAATTAGCCAGGTGTGGTGCTGCCCACCTATAATCCCAGTTACTCCAGAGGTTGAGGCAGGAGGATCACTTGAACCCAGGAGTTTGAGGTTGTGTGCTAGGCTGATGCCATGGCACTCTAGCTCAGGCAACAGAGCAAGACTCTGTCTCCAAAAAAAAAAATAAAATAAAAAGAATTTTTTATATACAAGATCATATTATCTGCAGAGTTCATTTTACTTCTCCTTTCTAATCTGGATGCCCTTTGTTTCTTTTTCTGCCTAAGAACCCTGGCAAAAACCACCAGTACAATGCTGCATATAAATTATATAAGTGGATTCCTTGTCTTATTCCTAATCTTGAAGGGGTGGGTATTGGAAAGCAACCAATCTTTCACCATTAGGTATGTTAGCTGCGAGGTTTTCACAGATATCTGTCTTACTTCAGTCTGTTATAATAAACACACTACA